TGATTTATGAACCCATAGGCTGTGCCCCATTCTCCAAACTCTCTTGATGTCCTTGCGGATGCCGCTAGCCTAATTCATCAATCAGGTATTGAATCCCATCACACGCTGCCGTATTCAGTACTACGTGAAACGATACCGACTCAACTACTTTACGGGAAGGGGGCGCGTTCCCGCACAGAATGGTGGTGTAGAGTTAAAAGGAAGTCCAAGGGTATATGCCTCGAGGAATGCATGCCGCACCCCAGCGCCAAACAAATTCTTGCTCGCTAAGCCGTCCTCCTCTCATTGGGTATAGTTTCTCGTCCTCTTATTGATCGTTTCCTGTTGTCAGCCTGACTCCACGAGGAAGAAGATGATAGATTCGCATGCGTCTCTAACGGTCTTCTCACTCAGATTCCATAGCCTCGCCAGTGCAGCGATCATCTCTTCGGGCCCTCTGTTGCCTACCAACTCTCTCTCCCATACTTTTGACGATAGCATGATGCCATCCAGCACCCGACACCGAGACAACTTCACGTGCACGCTGTACGGATCGCAATACGAGGAGACCACATGCCCATCACCATTCGACGTCCGTGTTCCTCGCAGCTCAAGCCTCGCTCTCTAGCGCCCTGCCATGCACTTTGCAGTCTGTACATGCAACACCGGCTTATGTCACTCTGCTGCCACGGCTGCTTCCGTCGACATTATATCTTATCGATCATCGGCGCCAAGAGCGTCGCGCTTGGCGGCACCTCGACAAAATGGACGTCCTTTGCCGTATCTGGCTCTGGCAAGATCCCTGCTGGAGGTCCGAGGTGGATCGTCTGGCCGGCCGAGATCCGATGCCCTGATACGGCTTATCCAAGCATCACCTCCACCGGCTGCGCAACTGGCCGCGTTCACCAGCTTCAATCGGATCCCAGATCACTTAGAACTCAGGAACCCGTTGCCTTCCCGCCGCCAATGCCCGGCAGCCTGCTTCCGCCCTGCCGCCACCCCCCTTCTTTTTTTTTATTTCCCTTTACCGTCCTGCCTTACGCTGTTGAAGGCGAAAAACGGATCATCTTCCACAAAATCGCTGGTCTCAAAGGCGAACAACCGATTATCTTCCACAAAATCGCTGGTCTCTTGCAACGATCAATTCTCCATGCATCTTCAGTCTTGACGGTGGCTGAACCTTATTCCTATACATTCGCACTGCTTGATTTGTCTCGCCGTTACAAAGCCCAGTGGATCGAATTACTCTAGAACACTGAGGGTTTGGTGAGGACACAGTATTCGACATAGTCGTCGCCATCAATGGAAATAATTGTTCCCTGCGATACAAGCTTTCCCTTAAAAGGCCCGGTTGTCCTGCGCTCATATTTGTGGCCGTCGTACGTCTTGATATTTTCTGAACTGCTCTTGTTGCGAAGCGTTTCCTGTCGAGCCCATACCCTGTGTAGTCGTTGCATGTCCTCTGGCTTGTAGAAAGGTATCTGGCTGTCGGTTTTGGAATGGTTCTCAAAAGTCACTTCGGAATTTGCTACGGCGACTGCGGCAGCAGAATTACCTGCGGCAGCAGCCGTTAGCAGCACTAGAATTACCTGCGGCAGCAGCCG